AAATGACTGGAAGCCAAAACAGTTCATTCTAGTTATTTCTACTCTCGCGCAGATGGCGCGGCGCCTCGAATCAGACAAGTCGATGCGTTACTACGAAAACATGTTATCTCATATTTAGCTTGGAAAACATACTAGCTCAGATCTTTAAGAAAAAACATGGTAGCTCAAACAAAATTAGTTTGACTAGAAATTTAAGTTGGCTGCATTGGCGCTGAAATGCACATTGAATGATTGAAACCGCAACTTATATATTTTTCAAAAAGTAAGGAGTATTTATGGTCAGGTACATTGTTTATTTTATTTTTTTCATTCAACATTTTTCAATTAATTTTGTTAACTTACTGTTATAAACGACAAAATTGTTAATTAAAAAAATAGAATTAGAAATTACTCGACGTTTTTTGAGATAACAAATTATTAAAAAAGTAATGTAAGCCTTGATATATATAAATGTCTATTATTACTAAAAATTATTCGATTTTATACAAGTTTACTTGTATGAATAAAATAAATGATATAAAAATTAATGCACACTAATGCGGACTCTAAGGAGCCTGCAATAAAAAGGATTATATAGTGGACCAGGCTAGTCCCCAAACTCTGGGTCCGAATCGTTCTTACTGCACCTCAATACAAACAGATGGCTTTTTAAAGGGAAGGTAACCGCGTGCTTGCATAGATTTTGAAAATAAAATGCAGGTATGCGACACCTTTGTTTATGATCTGCTGGATATCGATGCGACGGGCGCAGAGCAGATGATATGCACGTGGACGATTCCGCGGTTCCCCGTGCACACAAGTTTATCGTACATATCATTCAACTTTATACATTATATTTATATTCTGGTTATTATGTTAACTCTGTCAATGAAATTTTATGAATGAATTATGTTTTTCTACAAATTCTAAAAATTAATAGCGCACTAACCGATTTATAGTCAATACTCTTACTTTTATTCTAAAATTAATTTTATATGCCTTAATGCGGGCTCCGAATAGACTGCAATAAAAAGGATTATAGTGGACCAGACTAGGCTCCAAATCCCGGCTCCGAATCGTCTTACTTGGACAATAAGCCCGTGTAGAACAGCTATACCTGGGTTGTCTTGGCAATTGCTGTTAAGTCTTGCTTTGTACACACAGCTTTGTATTTATAAATGCAAAATTAAAAATATCAAACATTTTTAAAACGGAATTAATTAAAATTTCGTTACAAAATATTGATGTAGGATTGATAGGGATGTTTTATTGGTAAGATAAAGTAACATATCAAACTGCATCCGTGATCGGTCTGATCGCAAAGCTGCCTCGTCCTGTTTCACGTCGCCAGATCGCTGACCGCCTTCAGTCCGGCGAAGCCCTTAGTGTAACGACATGACCATTCGCCAGATAACCACTTTAGCATATTCGTGCATAAAATTACAGCGCCGCGCCGCGGGTTCCGTGATTAAGTGCAATTTTGTTTTAAAATTTTCAGGAAATAATCGCCGTAGATTTTAATCGACGTGGAAAAAAGTCGGCTGGGACTCGCCCAAGTTATTTTAAAACCAAAGCAACAACTCGTTAAGTAACGACCCACCTCTAAACGGAGGAAGTGGAATTATAACTCTGGAACTTCACAAACAAATTAAGGAACGCGAGTCATCGGTTTTAGATGTGGGAAAATGCCCCCTGTTTATTTTTTTATCCTTGCAGCCCCGTCCGAGTATTGTAATTTACTTATTCAGCCTCTGTCACGATAACAGGATATTTATTGTAGTTTTGCTTATAATGGTATATGTACTTTTAAGTACACTGAAAGAACTTTTTATTGTTAGCAACATACATCGTTAGCCGCAAATGATTGCCTTGTTAAAAATGACTTGTCAAATCGGTATTTACAGTATAGAAAAAATTAAGCTTTTATCGGGATACATATAATACATCCGTGTAATATTTATTTGTGGGTATCATTAAATATGACTTGTAGGCTTGTGACGGAAAAACTTTTAAAACTTTATTTCCTATTTACCACCAGAGCTATTTTATAGAATGTCTAGTTTTTAAATGTAGGAAAAAGTATTAGATACGAATATTGATTTGCCGCTCCTACACACTAATTTACCTTATGCGCCTTTTAACCTGTCGTTGAGTTCATATCTAGCGTATTTAAACATTGACAGTATAAAAATAACCAAAATGTCCAGGTTCAACATTTTTCTGCCCTTTGCCACCCTCGTAATCGTGGAAAGACTGGAGCCAATCGGATCACCCCTGCGCCCAGCGACCGAACATTTCTTACACTTTGTAAGTTTGTACCCCCTATTTTTCTAACATCTACCGTTACACTGTCGATTTCTTAAATATTTCCAATTTTAAAACTCAACCTATTTTGTTCGCTAGCTAATTCATTTTAAATTATTATTTATATTACTCGCGTTTATCCATATTTTCTTGAAATTAAATTAAAAGTCAAATTATTTTTAAAATGTGCATTTCTTGCCCCCCACCCAAACCTATTTTGGAATATTTTGCCTCAATTATATTCTAGCGATAAATCAACTTTGCCACAGCGTTGACTCACCCTGTATACGTTACGATTCAATAAAAAATTGCAATTTTCAATTAAAAACCTGAGTTTTCTATTAAAATATATTTCAGAAAAATTCAATCAATTTTTTATAATAACATGTATCACATTTTCAATTTTTTTCAATTTCGTCTATACTTCATATTCTTTACTAGAAAATTTAAACACCCTCGCATTTTAGGAGCAAATCATTTTAGCGTCCTAGCCATTTTTTCTGTTTGGTTGATTCAAAATTGTACAAAAATAGAACAAAGCACTTCTGTTTTCAATTTGGCAACTTTCACATTAGTTTGTTCTTGTTTCTCTCTTTGATTTAAACTGACAATTTGTTTTCTGCTTTTAAAGATGTCTGTGTTTACTAGAATGCTGCCTTGTGACTACGACTAAATAATTTTTTACGAACCTACATAAAAATGATCAATATTTTTGCATGTATCTATTCAAAAACCAGCCTTTATCATTAACATAGACTATGTGTGCCATTTTAATTTGCTGATTATATTATGTATTTTGATCAATTTACTCATCTTGTCGTCTTTCTCGTAGTTTCAACAAAATAAATTCTATGGGTTCCACATTTTTTCTTCCTCTTGTCGATATTAATTTACTTTCATATATTTTTGCATTATTATTATTAAGTATTATATTTTATTTTTGGCTACGTATCTGTAATAAAAATGTGTTAATGCATCATAATTGATATTAAATAAAATGTCTTTGTCGTGTGAATAAAAAAAAGCTCTTGTAAACTGACATCTTAAATTTCGTCGAAGACGAACATGCTTGCTGACGCGAGACAAAACATTGTCTTGATGAGAGAGACAGACTGATTTTGTCGTTGTTTATTATTATGATTCACGGCGAAAGAACCGCTAAAAACTATTTTAACAGTCCCAATTATGAAATTAATACATGGACCAGTCTCTCGTCGTGGGAGTTGGGTCGGAGATTTTTTTTTGGGCGATAATTTATACGTAATGAATTTACGGATTTTTAAACACATGATTTTATTAGTCACGGTCCAATAAAAACCGGTGCTCTGGCCAATTTCGTATCCCTAGTTTTTGGCACGGATCGTGACAACAAAATCTCGTCTATTGTGTGTCGGGAAGAGGATTTCCTAGAAAATGATAAATCCTATATACTTGCCACGTTTCGCAGTTACCTCGTGAAGCATTCCGCTGGTGTTCAACACATTTTTTGCCGTTACGTCAAAATCGTGTCGTGGTAGGAGTGCTTTTTCTTATCCTACGCTTAGCTCTACCGCAAATCAACTGCAATGACTGGCATATGTTTTATTGAATAAAAGTATACAGAGTTTTAGATGCGCATATTATTGGCTTGTTTTCTCAAATTCCGTCTTGTGGGAACTGATTTTTTTTACTTATTTTTCGTAAATTTGCACAGTTTGATGTGTGCAGATAAATCATTGCGATATAACTGTGCAGTTAAAAGTCGCTACGATTTATTTCGTTCACAGGTCAGAAATATCTGCAAACAAATAGTTTTCCATCCAAAAGTTACGTAAATCTGCACAGTTTGGTATGTGCACATAAATCATTTCGATTTAACTGTGTCGTTGAAAACCGCAACGGCTACGATTTATTTCGTTCACAGGACACAAATGTCTCTGAAAACCAAACGATTTTCCATCTACACGTAACTCAGCACAGTTTAATACGCACAGTTCAATCATTGCAATTTAACTCGCTACGGTTTATTTCATTCACAGGGCGAAAATGTATGTGCAAACCAAACTATTTCCTATCCGCACGTCTCGTGAATCTGCACAGTAAATTATGTGATTTAACTGTGCCTGTAAAAATAGGTACGATTTGTTTCGACCACACGGTACAAATATCTATGCAAATCAAACTGTTTGTCATCCGGACATGACAAATCTGCAGTATTTGAACTGCGCAGATAATTGATTGCTATTTAACTGTGCCGCAAAAAAATCAGTACGATTTATTTCGACGGCACAGCACAAATTTATGTGCAAATAGAACGATTTCCTATCCGGTCGTAAATCCACACAGTTTGATTGCACAGGTAAATTGTTGCGATTTAACTGTGCCGTAAAAAATCAGTTCGACTTATTTCGACCACATCGCATAAATATGTGTACAATTAAAACGAAATCCGGACATTACATAAATATGCACAGTTTAATCTGTATCTTTATGTGTATGATTGGATGGTATTATAAAAATTGCTGCACTTTCCGTTTCTGTACGCATCCAATTTGATATTTCAAATATAGTTGGCACTATGTTTGACTGTTAATAAGAACACTCTGCAGAAACAATTGCAGATAATAATTTAAACAAATGAAGCCATACATAACTGTATGTTTTTTATATTTCTATCACTTGTACAATGTTTTGGTACTTTTAATTCCTCGTAATGATTATTTTTTCTCTTGTTTCAGTATGTGGAGATATACACGGACAATTTTATGACCTTATGAAGTTATTTGAAGTAGGAGGACCACCCGCTAGTACAAAATACCTTTTTCTAGGGGATTACGTTGATAGAGGATATTTTAGTATAGAGGTAAGAGATACTATTCAGATAATTCCTTTAAGAGGTAAAACTTCTCTTGAATAGAAGTATGGAATAAATTCATTATTGCGAAAACTATAAAAGTTCATGATATTACCTTGGGCATGTCGAATTAATTGTTAAAAGCATATTTATATGTATTCAGATGAGGCCATTGAATTTTTCTAATTAGAACTATAATTTTTGTTTAGAAAATTATGAATATAACGAGCCTTCAAATAAAAACGTGGTCAAGTTGGTTCTGAAAATTTGGACGTAGGGCGTAGCGTATAGCAAATGAACTTAAACGTCATCTGTCAAAGCGCTGTATCGCCGCTTTCTTATTGAATCTGACAGCTGCTATACAGCTCGTTGAGAAATGAGGTTAAGTTGGTCGCTATAAGCTACGCCCTACGTCCAATGTGTCAGAGCCAACTTCGACCACGTTTTTATTTGAACGCTCGTTATTTCACACTTTTGTTCCACACATATCTACCTTCTTACTTACATAAGCAATATATGTTTATGCAAATTTATTTAAAAATTATTGTAGTTATCAATAATTTAATTTAATTAACATATATTGTACTTTCTGTATCACCTCTTTTGTAACTTAAAGGTGTTTTCATTTAAAATCTCTTTTCTGTGATACCGATTTTCTTTGAAAGCGTCACGTTAATTCTCTTGAAAAAAAAATTTCTCGGCATTCTGGAATTTTTTAGTATTGTCTTATTATAATAAAAGAATGAAAAACTACAAATCATCATGAATACTGGTTTGTACTCGATCAATGGATATGAGCCTGTATAGTTTAACAGTCGTTTGTTGTATTTTATATTCTTGTGCATTACACAACAAATATTTTATAGAAACTTATCGCGAAATTGCATTTATGTTGGTGGTTATACTCCATGGCCTTGGGGACGTATCAGCGACGTCATTTTTCTTCATTTATTATCGCTGTACCGAGATAAGCTGTCGAAAAAGAAAATTGGATAAAGGAAATACGAGGATATCCTTTTTTTTACTGTCGAGACGAAACATCTTTATTTAAAATCGATATTTCGCTTCCATCCAGTGGATGTGTACTTTTTTTGATAGTAGGTAAATGTACGTGCATAAAATTCTTTATTTCTCTCTTTTTGTTCGGATATTATTCTAACAAACAAAATTGTTGCTCATCCATTTTAATGTTAAAATTGTTGGGCTGCTTTTCCAAGACTGAGATTCTTTTACTTATTCAGAAAAATTATGTTCGCTCGGTTATAGATCAGGTCGGCGAGGGAGCTGTTACAGTAAATTTTCTTCAGTTGTTATTCTTTGTTTGTGCGCATTGCTGTCTTTGTGTTTAATTTTTTAAGGTTTAGAGAGTAATTAACAGCATTAGAAAAAAAAAACAGAAAAATATTTTAAGTTTTCACATTTTAGCAGCACAACTTTGTCCACTTCATATTCCTGTTATTTATTATATGTTTTGACCTATTACGATTATACTTCTTCATTATTTAATAAACTGTTAAAAACTATAGACTTTCATAGATGAAAGCTTACCTATAATAAAAATGATTAAGAAGACCGCTTTTGCATAACAAATATATTTGTTTATAGTTGTATTTCATAAACAGATGTCTATATAGGGTGTGTACTTAGTAAGCAAAATAACGCAAATTTAATATTTCGTCGCTTATTATGAGAGAGAATTTAATTATGCGGAATTAATTCAAATATTATCGCGCAAAATGTAATTCCCCATATGTGTAAAAAAATTCAAATCACATTAACACTGCTCGAATTGCATTTTGTGGAAAATCAATATTTAGTATAACGTAAATTATAAATTTAATCATTGGGTTTACTGCTATCGGAGAAAAATTGGCGTGGCGTTGAATTTGTAACTTGTCGATCAACATAAAAAGATATTTGAATTTGGAATTATCAAAAATAAACGTAAATGTCGAAGTATTCATTTGGGATGTCATTTTTAATTTATTTACAATAATGAACTGAATTTTGAATTTGGAACATTTTTTCTCGAGATACATATTTCTTTTGATTGCTCGATAACCGTTGTCCAAAAATTGTTCATGTTGTCTGAAGATCTTGAAACTAGAGACTTAATGCTTCAAAATTCTTTTTTGTTTATCGCGATACGACCATTTTTCACTGATATACAACCTTCCGAAAATCTCTTAAAAATCATTAAAATTCGTTGTTCCTTTAATTTTCTCCAGTAGTGTATTTTAAAACGCCTTTTAGATTGGTCAAAAGATTTTCCGAAAAGATAATCCAGTTTTGAGAACCCGTTTCTCCATTTCGTTGACCTTCGAGCCCGCTTATTGTAAGAGATACACCCTATATACCAGCAAGGCATTTTAAATTGATATTCGTTTGTTTAATTCTGTTGACAGTGCGTGTTGTACCTGTGGGCGCTGAAGCTGTGTTATCCTACAACCCTTTTTCTCCTCCGTGGTAACCACGAGTGTCGCCATTTAACAGAATATTTCACCTTTAAACAAGAATGTAAGTGTACTTTTATATGGTATTTATAATCTAATGTCGTACGTTTTTCTGCATGCTCAGTATTGGTTGCGTCGAATATCTCGCAGGTTTTCTATTAGAAACCAGAAGTCGGGAGAAATTTGTACAGAAATCAGATGATTTAATTTTCGAAGAAAGACGTACCAAACAATAGATGGCGTGTTGTGTTTTATATAGCAAACAATAGATGGCGTGTCGTCTTCTCTTTGAAGATAATAGATGGCATTGCCAAAGCCAATGCTTTTATGCAGAGCATAATGGCTATTATATACAAATTTCTAAGTATTGCAAGAAGTTTATCTATAAACGTTCAATTCTTCTTAGAAAGTGACAGTAATACTTACTTCTAGTTATTTACAAACATTAAAAATGCCCATAAATATAAATATATCATTTTTAATACGTGCTTCCAGCTGTTTTTTCTGCGACAGTCGAATTAAAGTGAAAAATATATTTTCATTAAACATTGTTTAAAAATTTACTTTTCGTAGAACAGTCACGGAAAAATGGATGTGAAAATAGGCAAAAACGTTTCTTTATACAGTATACTTGCTCAAAAACTAGCAATTTTTGGTCAAATTTTGATTTGTATCTTTTGATTAGTAGTTTATTAAGCTTTTCTTTAAATTAAAACATTCAGAAATGTATACATGATTAAACTACTGTACCTTAAAAATTATTGTAGTATTTCTAGCCCGTGAAAAATTTCATGGTATTTTTGAAACTCACAAATACAGCGAGCGCGGAAAAGTTAATGAAAAATTTATTGCTACTAAAACTTGTTATACTGTTCCGAAATTAAAGTCAGATTTACGCGATACCTAAGTAACTTTGTTTATAGTAATAGTCAGATCTACTCTAGTTTAATGATTTTAGTCATAGGCCAAAACATAGCTTATAATTTTAAAGCATGTGTGGGGTAATTGTCAGCTGTACTAGGTTGTGGTCCTAAATTCAACCATTTCCGAGAAAAAAAATTATCAAAATCTCCAACTTGATGTACAAAAGTCCGATTAATTAAGGAATATTAACATAAGTGCGTGCATAGAATACCATAAAATACAATTTTTGTCAGTTTTAACTTCTTTAGCGTTGTAATCTGTTGGTATCTGGAATTGGACCGTGTCGGAATGTTTTTTGTGTGCCACTATTTCCTTTTTTTTATGTGTTTTCCACCGATTGCGCGAAAATTTGATCGAACGTGTCGTGCGTGCATCGAAAATGGTGGACATTTTGAGCATATGTTGTAGTTTGTTTTGTAATTGTGCCTTTAAAAATTACTGAATTTTGCTTTTTGGTAAGTCCCTAAATTATTTTTAATACGTATGATTATTTGGACGACGTAGATCTTTGGGTATTTTAATTACATATTTTTCAAATTCATAATTTGATTAAAAGTTAAAGTTCCTGTTTTAAGAGATTCATAAGTACTAAAATTCGAGCTAAAATTTAAGCACAACACTATCTTCGTACTACAAAGTCGATACAGTTTTTATTTTATTTATTTAAAAACTGGAAAACAGTCGTCTTGAAATTTACTTAATGTTTCACAATAATAGTTGTTTACATTTTTTCCATAGGACAAGTCTGCCGCGTGCACACGTAGTGTGCTTCAGCTGTGTAGCGCTGTTGTCGCTTCGTGATGAAACTCCCCAATATTAATACTATATACAACTTTTTATGATTACTCTATCTTATGCTGAAGTTATGGCAGTCATACTTCTTACACCCTGTATAAAAATGGACAACTTTCTTTGAGATTGTGAGTTGAGATAGAATTGAAATTTCTAAAACAATTCCAAACACGAATTTCTACCCAAAAAACGACAGCAAAATAAAATAATTATAAACATCATAGGTTATTTTTTACCTATGATTATGTTTTATTTAAAAAATGTGCACGAGATTCCAGAGTAGGGTAATGACTAGAATAAGTCCAGCTATTATTAAATGTTTTATTTACTTTTTTCGAGTTAAAAATAACCTCCCTATTCCTACGCACTGATCATCGGGTTATTGCGGAGAATATTAACAGAAATATCACCTGGTTTACAGCAAACTGAAGATAATATAAACAACAAAGATGAATGTTTTTTCGAAACACAGAAAATTAGAAATTATCCAACTTTTTCTTGGATCCAATTCTGCGACACATTAATACCGGGTGATTCAGAACTTATCGAAAATAAACTTTTTTAATGTACAGGGAACTCTTACAAATATACAAATTTGTAAAAAAAAATCAAAGAGCAGTTCGAAAATGATTTAAAAATACACTTCTGCCACTATAAAACCTGACCTTGCGCAAGGCAACGGATGCAGCGGCGACCGGCACGGCGGCAAAGTGTTATAAAAAATTAACGAATAAAACATTGAAAGTATCTTTTCCCAAGGAAAGAAATAAATCAAATTTTATAACACCTATTTTATATCAGCAAATTCAACTGGTTTTTGACGTACCTACTTGATGTTACAACGCCTGTTAAAAATTTTGTACACCGATGTGTAAACACATTTGGGCCCGTCTTACCCAGTTTCTACGAAATAACACAAATGTCTTGTTTCACCATAAATTAAAACGATATCCATCAACTCCTGAGTTGCTATACACGTAAACTATTTTTGGCACTTGAAAAAACTGATGTAAACACAATCACAAAAACGTAAATACTTCAGTATTTGGAATCGTCTGGGGCCAGGTGGAGAGGGATCGCATTTCAATTTAATATTTTTTTTCTCTGAAACTAAGAATTTTACAAAAATTTTTTTACTATATTGACCCATCGATTCCCAATTTTTTTTATGAATCACCCTGTATAACTTAACGCAACTGGGCGAGAGAAAAGATTATTCAGAAACGGTTATTAGACTGATCGAAATAACTTATTTAGAGGGAGAAAAAAAAGACAGTTTATTTTTGTATTTTTTTCCGTAGAATTGAATGGTGTAATCAGTTTTTGACTTTTTTTAAATTTAAACAAATCAACAATTACTGAATAATTTATTGTTGCAAGTCATTTTTTAAATTTTTTGCATTTTTGAGCATGTTTTTGAACTGTTATTACAGATTTTTTTATTTCACCAAAAAGTATATGTCAAAACGAAAAAAATGAATAGGCAGGACTCTGTACGATGATTTTTCTAAATAGAATTTTTCTTTGAAAAAAAAATGTTTCATACCGGAAAAAATGAATATCTCGGAAACTTCTTGATTTTTTTATTTAAAATTTTGCAATTATTTAAAACACAGAAAGGTATCCTTTCACCAAGTTTCGTCAAAATTAAATTATTTTTGCGGAAATGAGAAATAAATAACGAAAAATCAGAAAAAAAAACTGTTTTTCGCATTTTTTTCGGAAATTTTGAGGATATCTTAAAAAGTGATATCTACAAAAGTTGTAGATTTTTGCATGGCCTACAACTTTTGTATTGGATACTTTTTTGTTTGACGTCAACTTTCGCCAGAAATCCCAGTGATACAATTTTTCATAACTTTTCAACCCCCCAAATCAACCCTCCGCCACCACTGCTCACGCATTTATTTTTTTTAGGTTTATTATAAGCCCTTTTACCATTTCCACTTATAAAAGTCCAGGTAACAATAATTTTTTTTTCTCCAGGTGTAATTTGGTTGGACTGTATGTTTGCCGACAACAATCGGAACGGTGTATTTTGTTTTATGGGATTTTATTTAGTAAACGTTGAAAGTGAGGTTGATATTCATGGCTTTATGGTTTGCTTTTCAATTTGGTCCCTGAAATTCCGCCGTTCCGTCGCATGTTAAAAGTAACGTTTAATACAGCAAATTTGAAAAATCTATTACGGTAATGGAAGAATATAATCCGGCCGCAATTGTTACAGTTACCGAAGAAGCCTCCATACATGGGTTGCGTCTGTTACAAAGAGAATACCCGGCATCAATTTTGGATAAAAGGTCTTTGTGGTCTACTTTAATATCACTCAGAAATATCAGGGTTTTCCAGCCCCACATCCCTCATCAAATTTACTCGGTAAATAAGAGTAGAAGAGTAAAAAGATACGGCACCGTCCCCTCTCCACACCACCCCCTCGTCTGCGACTTATGCAGGGCACCAGAACCCGACCGAATAGACGAAAGTACTGAAAGTAATAAATCAGCGTTGAGACGCGAACGGCTACATCAATCTAAATAAAATATCGATATACAATAAAAAGCGACAGGGAAATGGGGGGCGGGGAGGACCTCGGGATAGTGCGAAAGATATTTAACGGATGTTGAACATAAATACTCAATTTTACTTTTGATATTCAATATTATGAATAATAAAACGCCGCACTATGACACGGTCGTTTTTTATGCCTTCTCTTGCGGCGGGCGATGAGAAATTTTGTTGGCATCGACGTAGCTTCCACGCATGATGTCATACGCACACAGGGCGTCTGGTAAAACACGGGCCAAATTTCTACGATGAAAATAAAGTTCGTTTTTAAAAAAATGCCAACAGATTGCACTTCTTTAGCATTAGCTAGAAATCTTTGACCTGCCCTTATTGTTCTCGGACTAGGTTCTGTGGGGGAGAACCAGCTATCAGAACCCTAGCCCCAAGTTAACTATAAAAGCATCCCCGCTGCTTATGGAGATTAGAATCAACAATTAGAACTGAAATCAACGAAATCAACAGCAGGACGGGTCTAGGAGTTAAGATAGCGGTTCCGCCCCCACAAAGCGTGGCCCGAGAACAACAAGAACAGGTCAGAGATTCCTGGCTAAGGAAGTGCATTATAAGTCTTTAACTATGGCATAATCCGAAAAACCACCTAATTACACTGTTTTTTTTTTTGGAAAATATAGGCTAAAATTTGATTTTGAAACGCCCTTTGACGCCCTGTACCTAAAAAATAGAAGACTATAGGTCCATGGGCCATGGGAAAATATCGTTCAGCCTCTGAATTCACGATAGTTTTTCCAAAACACCTTTAGCAGAGTTGTTTTATCCAGGCAATATCTAGTTTGTTGTCCAGATATTTTACAAACTCCCTATATCTTGTTCAGCGCTATCCCGAGGAAAATTTTTCATTCCCTTCCATTGCCATGAAAACGGAAACGATAAACCGAAAGAAAAATGGACGAGACCGCACACGATTTTTTTTTTAACATCGTAAGTTACGTCTTCGCATAAAAAGATAATAGAAAGGCAGATTTCCAGCCAGCGAAATTCACAACGCGATTCATATCATTTTCCCGTACTATGCACGGGGGGAAAATTTCAATAAGGCATTTCCTTTTGGTATTGGCAATAAGGCGCCACGCCTTCTTTTTATCTTTATTCGCGTTCGAGAATCCCACTTCTGATTTCTGAACGGGAATTCCGTCGCAGCGCGCTATCGATTCCATTCATTCGGGGGTATTAAATAAATCAGGTCCCATCAAATAGATATTTCAGAGCGGCATCTCCGTTAAATGCGCATATAAAGAAGTTTTAACTGAAATCAAGTCGTCCGTGAGAACGCGCGAAATCACAAAGGCGGGGAATATGGATCTTTTTTAATGACGGTCCTGATATAGTTACAAGTTAACCGTCTTCTTAGTAAAGAAAACCCAAAATGAAACATTTATTTAAGTAAATCTTAAATTACACAAGTTATAATAATAATAATATCTCTACTCCTCATTCTAACTACGAGAATTAGCCCAAAAGTCAGAGACTTGTGCGGGAGAGGAGGCGGCATATTATTACGCAGGCCGCATTTGCGCCCAGGAACGACTTATGTTGGTAGGCCCTAACCACCATTCAGTGCAGGAATGAGGAAAACCTCATTAATTAGGGGGGTGGTCAAATGCCAACCGGTGTCAATCTCTCACATTGACCCAAGCCAACATTCTTCCACCCTACCATACCTGTACAGAGGGTGCCAATCCTCCGTACAAGTATAGCTAATCTACGGTCTACCGGCCGCGGGATTCGAAACCCGGGCAGATCGACACATCGATTTACCTAAGTACTGACGCCTTAAACCGTGCGGCTATCGACCGTGTCGATTAATGAAGCCTGTTATGCAAAAAAATTGAATTATAATGAAAATTGCTGACGTAGCTTTGTATCTCTTCATAATGAATTAAACAAAACTTTGTATAGTGTTTCACAATTTTATTTGTTATTTTCGCGAACGGCCTCTTTCTTCTAAGCCTCTTCAACTTTATTTAATTAATAGATATATTTAATGCTGTATTCAAGTGAAATATGGTAGTTTACACGAATAGCAAGATGGTAGATATATCAAAAGGCGTAGCGCAAAATTACCATTGTTACCATTTTTAAATATCGACTAAACTGAAGAATCAGTTACGGTAAAATGAATGCCAGCTAATGTCAAATATATACTCTGTTGTACGTAAAATATATCGAGTTCAGTTTACGTAGAGCAAAATTCGATACTGGGCTAATTGATGCTGAAAGCAAATTTGTAAACAAAATTAAATTAGCAAATTTAAATCAGGGTAAATAATTTGTGAAGCTGGACGTCATAAAATTTAACGTCTATCGAATTATGGAACATTAAATATTTGTTAGTCTGCAATCTGCATAATTCCATTATTAAAATGAACCGGCATAGAACAAAAATGTTTGTAAAAATAGATCTAAGTAGTATTTTCATATTTCCGTTATTTTTAATCGTAACGGGACGATGATTTATTCACTTGGAACATCGGAAAAGTTTCCTCTGTACAGTTTCCGGTGCTTTTTTAATTATTTTTTTTATATGTCTCTATGCTATTCATCAGAAAGCGTTTGTTTTCTTTTTCAGGTAAAATAAAATATTCAGAACGTGTATATGAAGCGTGTATGGATGCTTTCGACTGCCTGCCGCTAGCGGCGCTAATGAATCAACAGTTCCTCTGCGTCCACGGCGGTTTATCACCAGAAATACATAATTTAGATGATATACGAAAGGTAAGTTCATTTTTCGTTTTATTATCATCAAATAGATCTTTAATAACGGAAGCAATGATGTTTCTCTGTTGATTAAATTGGAATAATAGACAAACGAGTTAATTTAAATTGACATAATTCAAGTTAAGTCCTGCTTTTGTCCCCAGAAGTATTGCGTTGTCTTAATTTATTTAAAAAATGTGTATCTTTTGCTGAGGGTTGCTTTCGGTGTGCAGCAAAATGAAACTCTCTCTCAACGGTAAAATAAAAGTATTTTTATTGAAAACAATGTTTGTGAAAAAGAAGTGTCGGTGCGAGCGTTCGCTGGAGAGTCCTCGTGGTGTGGAGTCGCTCGCAGGTATAAGTATCTGGTCCTTGGCGCCAATGTGCCGTGGTTCTCTTCCGGGAACCGTATCCCGCGTTGCACATTGTTTCTTGCCGCTTACAACGGTTAGGCCGTCCGGCTTCAGGCTGGCGCTCTTGACGTAATACTTAAAACGGGTCACTTGCAGACAAGTGTACCCACAAAACAAAAATTTTTCAGTGCTATATTAATTTTTTTTTCAATATTTAAATATATATAAATTATAGATATATTAATTTATCTTACAAAGCTAACATATACACAAATATTTTTACTCAGATAACAAAAATTTATTATATCAATCTGACCATTTTCGTTTTCCAAATATAAATTTACTCTTCGTTTCATGCACTCAAAAACGCGTTCAAGGTGAATCGGAGTTATAATGTTTATTTCACGTTCAATTGCTGCTTCCAGCTCTTCAAATGTGTGAAGAGGACGTAACCAATCCATCACCATAAAATTCCTGATGGTAGTTTCTGTTGCAGTATGCGCTGTAGCTCCATCTTGAAAATACCCACGCTGCAGTTTATCGCCATGTATTAATTCCCGGACTTGTTGTAAAATGTTACGGTATCGTTCTCCATTTATTACTTCTCGGAAAAAAATGGGCCTATTATATGCCTTCTTGAAATTGCTACTGGTACCTATCTTCTGAGTATGTAACGTTTTTTAAATTAAAATTGCCTGAATCACACCAAATTCCGCATTGCTGCACTGCATTGCTAGGCAATTTGTCAACAACTGGAATTTATGGCCCAGTCGCCCAGTTCGGCTGTCTGTGTACGCCGTTTGACGGCGCGCGCATTCTTCAATTGGGCGTATACATTTCTACACACACGTATACACACACACGCGTATACACCTCCACGTTTAGTTCGTCCAGACCTGTATATGGGTATGGCTAAATAAATATGGGAACAAGTTTTTTAAATATTTCAATGCCGAGTTGCTGTTTCAGGTCGTGAATTTCGTGACAATGTTGTAAACAGGAGGAGGTTACACTGCATAGGAACTCGTTATTATTATTTATTTTTAACATTTAACGCAGTTCGACAAAGGCGAACTAACTGGTAATGAACGGCATCGTACGTGATAAAAGCCATTGTCTCTTCGGCAGCGCATCGTGTCCGGTTTGTCCCCCAGCCAATCCTATTTACTTAACTATGTGCTTTTCGTCTTTCGATCCATTAATTCGTAGCCGCAGTGAATGGATTCGCAAATTTCGGTCGATTATCAGGCGTCTGCATAAAATAACGACAAATTCGCAGCCGTCTGGTCTGTCAATTAATGCGCCAATTAGCAATAGTCTATCAAAGTTTTATCATAGAGCTTGAACACCCTGTATTTATACAATTATCACCGTGCGTGAATACAAAAATCAAATGAGAAAATTGTAGGTCATTAGTAAAATAAACATCCTACAAGGCCCCTTTTATTCCCTATCGATTTGTTGCGATTAAACTCTTCCCCTTCCATTCTTTTTACAGCTCTTTTGTATGTTTGAAAAGTTTCAGTTGCGGAAGTTTACAAAACTTTTGTTAAGGCAACCTTTCTTGGTGTCTGTCAGTTTTGGAATCGATAGGGTATAACGGAATACATGTTCTTGCTCTACTAAGCAATTATTTAGATTGCCAATGAAGGGAAATTCGCGAACGGAGTTCGTACACGTTTCTGTGTAGACGATATGTAGCGATATTTTTCAAGCACATTTCGACGGGGCTGCAAAATTGAATATCGCGTTCGTTTGTGTCAAGGAATGCTGCGTAAGACTTTCATTTTTGTATGACGAAGTATTTGCATGCTTTCATAAAATAAAAGTTTATAAAGAAAATGAATATTATAGTGTTTCATAAGTTTCTCTTCTCTAATTTCGTCACGACAACTGGTTTTTAATAAGTTTGTATAGTAACTTTCATACCTCGCCGCTAAACAAAAGTGTACCATTTACATAACCACAAAATTTTTCTGTGCTAAACGTAATGGCGATAATTTTTCACTCGGTACAATTTACCTAAAGTATTCTATATTATTTGCTAGGTTCTAGATTGTAACAAAACTGTCCCTAACACAACAATCTGTCCAGATAATGTCCCGTGACAGCCACCGTGTGCAACAATGGGCAGGAGTCAGGACGTGTGACTATAAGGAGTCAGCTTCGCGCCGCGATGGTCTCGCTGCGGTCGACACATGCGAGGTAGCGAACCGTGAAATGCACGCCACAATCCCACAGGCCGCTGCACATCTGCACTTGAGTGCCTCCGAACTTATCCAGAGTTTCCGACTGTAGGATAGAGAATTAATTACCTTCCAAATGAGTTCATTAAGCATATTTTCGTCTAACTAGTTTTTAACAATTTCTCATTAAAATAATAAATGACAACGGAGCACGGGAAAACGCACGGATGCCACGTTGTGATGTCATAGCACTCGTTAACGACGAACCGACGCTTTTTGCCGGGTCCCACATACGTACATCATACAGGGCCTCAGAAATGATTACAATCCACATGACCGCTAAGCTTAGGCAACCAACATTGCACAATTGTTACTGTCAACTAAAAATCTCAGAATGTTAGCGTCGTCAATATTAATGATTTCGTTCACAATGAACAATGGCAAACCGTTGCTTCTACACTCGAGGTAATGCGATGGCTGATTGATCGAATAAAATTGTTTTTAAAATTACAGCAACCACCATAAAAAAATTTCATGTGCTGTAATAGTAATTGCATACATTCTAAGTCAATGTAAAATTTATATTTGTATATTTAATTTTAAATCAACTTGACTTCACTATTAAGACGATTACGGCAGTTATATTCTAAAATATAGTAACTCAGTAATAGGAGCTGCCATAATCGAAATGTGGAAGGGCTAACTTAAAAATTAGATTGAATCGGTTTAGGTATTCAGCTTGATTCGAATACCGCTGCATCAGATATGTACTGTGGATGTTCGTACGCGTATATCAGGCTGCTGGTATATCAGGGATTTACAAGGCCTTCCCTAAAAAAAAAGAAATAGAAAAAATCAATCATGAGCTATTATTTCATCAATTACATAACCCCACGGACAAAAAAAATTCAATGTGTGATAGAGTTAGATCATCGTAACCGTAGTAAGCTCATGTTTAAGGTTATTTGAAGGTCAAATCTTGTTTTTTGATGGTAATAGAATGTTTAACCCCGGATTCTTAAAGAGCATTTGAAGGTCAATAATTATTCCTTTCGAACTTCTCAAGGTTATTGCAAGGGCAACTCTTGTTTTTTTTAAGGTAACACTCAGAATATCGTAGAATGGATCCTACCACACATTCCTTTTTGGTGCAGCATATTCTGAGTTAACAGAAACATCGACAGGGTGTAAGAAGTTTGACTGCCATTACTTCAGCATGAACAAAAAAAGTTGTACACTACAGGGGCGTAACATTAATAGTTTTCAAAATGCAGCGAGTATTAATATTGGGGAGTTTCATCACAACGTGACAACAGCGCTTGTCCTACGGAAAAAATGTAAACAAGTATTGTGAAACATATAGTAAATTTCAAGACAATTGTTTTCCAGTTTTTAAATAAATAAAATGAAATGTATCGATTTTGTAGTACGAAGATAGTGTTGTTGCATAATTGAAAAGGATTTTTGTGCACTCCTGGAGGGACAAAGTCACGCAACGCCCATTACCGGCCGTCGTGGATGTCGTCGACAGGATGAACTCCGTGAAAGGGACGGCGCACTCGGGAAATTTATATTCCGCCGTTGGCAGACCTGGGTGGTTAAATGGCTCGTGAACTAATTGTGACGAGCGGACGTCTTAATATTTCTGCGGCTTACTGCGATTTAATTCGAGGGGGTTTGCCAAGCCCCCGGCGCATGCAGACGGACTGTTGAATTAAGGCCTTTGTTGGGATGATGGATGGTGGTCTAGTTCGGCGCGGCCAGCGAGACTGGGGTATTGGGAAATTCAATTACCACGACCTTGAGGGCGCCACAGTAGACGGCTAATTTTCGCTTGCTAGATAATAGAAACAATTTTTAGTGTTAAGCTGATCCAAACAAATTTCAAAAATTTTATCAAACGCAATCAAACAATGTTCTTCGGTACCAGAATACCCATACTTCAGTCGAATTAGATCTGAAACGTTCAAGTAAAAAATCTCAGGAGCGACGAGGGCAACTTTCACGCGCATGCCAGGGCCCGGCGCTCCTTCTCCCGCCGTTCATTAACGTTAACTTTTACTGCTGCTAGCGCGTTTATTACAAGAACAACAACGAGTATCACAGCATAATACAGGGTGTTAGAAGTTTGACTGCCTTCATTTTACCAGACGATAGAATATATTAAGATAAACAAAAAAACTCTTATGCTTAATTCCAAACAATAATTAGCGTTATAATAAATTTAAAATTCGATAAAATTCATATCGAGCAATGTGACAACGGGGCGGCGGATAACGCGAGGTACTAAGCTGTCCAGCATTACGCAATTCAGTTGGTATCTGGAATTGGACCGTGTCTGAGTGTTTTTGCGTACCTCTATTTCCTTTTCTTGAGGTGTTTTCCAGCGAGTGCGAGAAAATTGGATCGAAGGTGTTGTGCGTGCATCGATAATGATGTTGGACATTTTGAGCATATTATGTTGTAGGTTGTTTTGTAC